CCAAACGGTAGGCCAGGACGGTGTGAAGATCTTAGCAGTTGTCCAGCATTGCTATTAAATTTAAGCAGTCTGCGAGAATCTCTATGTTTTAAGAGTCTTTTTGTACCAGGCGTTTGTTGTCCAATTCCGGAAAGTTCCACCATATTAACTACTCAAAGACCGTTAAAATTAACAACTAAAGCAACAACAACCACTGCACGTCCTTCTACACACAAACCAGCTTCAAATCCAAGTTTGGTGTTAATACCACAACAAAGACCAACAACAACTACCACCACCACAACCCCAAATCCACTTGATGTTATATCAAACGAATTAGATTTGTTGGGTGGTAATAATATAATAGATCCAGAAGAATGTGGGCAGCAGGAATATTCAACTGGGCGCATTGTAGGTGGTGTAGAGGCACCTAATGGACAATGGCCATGGATGGCGGCAATTTTTTTACATGGACCTAAACGTACAGAATTTTGGTGTGGTGGTTCTCTAATAGGCACTAAATATATACTCACAGCGGCACATTGCACGCGGGATTCAAGACAGAAACCGTAAGTTTTTTTGCATAAATATATATGCAGTTATATTACTTTACTACGTTATTTCACGTCTTTTTAGTTTTGCTGCTCGTCAGTTTACAGTACGTCTGGGTGATATTGATCTATCAACAGATAATGAGCCATCGGCACCAGTTACATTTGCGGTTAAGGAGGTTCGCGCACATGAGAGGTAGTAAATGAGGCTTCAAAATCAAATTGAATTGATATACAATGAAAACTTTTGTTCCAGATTTTCAAGAATTGGTTTCTATAACGACATTGCTATATTGGTGCTTGATAAACCAGTACGCAAATCAAAGTATGTGATACCAGTGTGCCTACCAAAAGGTAATCGCATGCCACCAAAAGAACGCTTACCAGGACGTAGGGCGACTGTTGTCGGTTGGGGTACCACGTACTATGGCGGAAAAGAATCTACAACACAAAGACAAGCGGAACTTCCAATTTGGCGTAATGAAGATTGTGACCGTTCGTATTTCCAACCAATCAATGAAAATTTTGTATGCGCTGGATATTCTGATGGCGGTGTTGATGCTTGTCAGGTAGGTGGAACTGTATTTTGCCATACAACAAATTAATTAGTATATTATCTGTTATGTTCTATTTAGGGTGATTCCGGTGGTCCACTTATGATGCGTTACGAATCACATTGGGTACAACTTGGAGTTGTATCATTCGGTAATAAATGCGGTGAACCTGGCTATCCTGGTGTATATACGAGAGTTACACAATATTTGGACTGGATACGAGATCATACAAAAGATTAGCTACACATAGAACTGTTTAGTTAAAACTATTTTAAGTAATTTTACAAATTACTAGTCTACACTACTTATGTAAAATAATTTTGTATCTTTTTCTATTTATTAACAACGAACTATATTTTTAAGTTTTTAAATTATTTTTAATTTACGCTGTAGAATAAAATTGTACATTATAAAAATTTGTTTGATTTATACCATTTGATTATATAAAATGATAGGTGGACACTAAAATATGTATGTGGAGCATTGATATACGAGAGTAGAAAGAGAGATAAATAAAACGATCTGTAAAAATAGAGAGCGCTAAGGAAAGAGAGAGATAACGAAAAAAAGACTGAGAAAGAAATTAATTCACTCGCATTGCATTTCTATTGTAAATAATTATATAGTCATTTAGTGAAAATCTAGTTTTCTTAAGAGTAACAATATATTTTTATATAAACAATGACATAATTGGAGAACTTGAACTAATGTGAAAATCATTAAAATTTGCCACAATTTAAAATATTTTGTTTTCATAAATTTTTAATTTTTTTCTTTGACTAAAATAGTTTAATTTTCTTATTATTTTTATTAATAATGTTTACTACTAATCATATTTTAAGTTATCATAACACTGAACGTAAGACCACGATAAGTAGAAAGCAGGTTAAGATAGATTATAAACCACGAAGAGAGAAATTACCTATTAAAAAGTTCCGCTATTCATCGTGATATGGTAGTTCAGTAAATTCATCTACAAAGTGAAATCCCATGGAATGTGTGTATGATATAGTTTCTCCACCCTATTTGTGTTAGTGAAAAATTATAATCAAATAATCAATAAAATAAAAGAAAACTAGGATTTCAAATGATTTATGCAATTTATAATTAAAATATACAACAATTTAGCATTTATTGTTTTACTCTAAAATATGGAGCCACATTTTGGTTTCTTGTACTTTATATCATTATCACTTTCATTTGTGTATTTTGATTAATTAACCCTTTCTTTAATATTTTTATAATTTCAACTATCAGAGGATTCATATCAAGAGTACTTGTGCATAGTACATGTGAACTTTAAACAGTCAGATTTCATTAACAGATATGTTTAATTATATACAAATAACTAGACTTTTATAGTATTGAAACGAATAAAAATTACAGTCCAGGCATCGATCAGGTTCAATTAAAAAATATTACACATCACTCAATAGGTGTTCGATCTTGTTAAGAAAAATACATTTTTGTGAAATTCGACTTGTCACAGCTCTTTCCTAGATTTCAAAAAATATGACTGCATCTACTAGTTACTAGAGACTAGACCTAAAGAGAGTAAGATGGGTGAAAAATCGAAAAAAATACATTTAATTTAACCTTTTTGGTTGGATGAAAGAAAATGAGATACTCAAATATTATTTTCTGATATCTTTAATGTGTCAGATATTTCACGTAATTTTAAGGATCTATCGCATTCTGCAAAGAGTATTGTTTTCATCGATTTGTAACCTTTTGTTTTTGGGTCCAGTATAAGCAAACGCGTAACCCACTTCAAAAGCAACTTACGTTTCTTCAAATTTGCGTGTTGAATTGTTAATACTCGTTTCTGATATTTTCAAGATCTTAGCTTTTTTCAGTCATATCACTTTAGGGTCATTTACAAAAAAAAAATTTTTAAGCAAAAAAGCAGGAAAAAAGGCTGTCTGAACTCATATTTAAGTATATAGTTATCATTCGAACAACTTTCATTCTTAATATTTTTCATGTTTTTTATATACGCGCGTTTTAACATAAAACTCCAAAAATAATAATTATTATATTATTAATAATTATTTTTATATTTATCAAAATCTTCGGGGGAGGCTGTAACCCCTAGAGTATGCGTCGCAGGTGGCGGATAGCGGATGCATTTCGTTTTAACGAGTGGTAGGAGGGAAATAAAATACCTCCCGCAGACCAAACAGTCCGAAGAAGGTCACTTCCCTAAAAAAACCTCTACTCGCAGGCTACCCACTGGATATTCTGAGGTCGTAGGTTGCGGATAGAGTTGCATGCTTAGACAGGAGTCTGTAAAAGACATGGCGGCGGAGGAACCGTAACTGGTCAACGGCGGGTCTCGCATACCTTCAAAAGGAGTACTATAACATTATTTTTCTGTCGCTCTGGAGGCAACAGTTGGCAGCCCTAATCGGATGCGGTAGGCCAATCACCTGCCAATCTTAAATCAACCGATTAACGAAACCGTAATAATTAATAACAGAAATAGCAACAACATATCGATGACGACCTTGATCTTGAGCATGAAAAATAATACACGATTCGGAACCTGGAATGTGAAGACACTTTTCGAATCATCACTTGCGCAGCTGTGCAACGAATTTCAAATTTACAAACTTAACAAACAACAAAAGGCGGGTACACTTAATTTTCTCTGATAGTGGAATAAACCAGCCCCGAAGAAATGGAGTCGGGTTTTTCTCTCAAAAGAGACCCGCAAAGCATTGATGAACTGGCAGGCTTTTTCAGACAGGGTCATTTCCATAAGATTACGGACCCGAGCTAGAAATGTATCTTGCATTCAATGCTACGCACCTACCGAAGATACGGACTTTTCCATTAAGGAGGAATTTCACAACTCCCTTGATAAAGCTTTCTCATGTGTTCAGCGAGGCGATTTACTAATTGTAATGGGTGATTTCAACGCCCAAGTTGGCGCTGAAAACACGGGCTTAGAAGGCTGTATGAGCAAACATGGGATCGGTAGAAAACATTAAAATGGTTCGAGATTTACTGGAATGTGCGCAACGAACAACTTGGTTATAGGAGGGACAATATTTCCGCACAAGCGCATACATAAAATCACATGGGTATCGCCAGACCATAGAACTGAAAATCAAATCGACCACATCACCATCTCTAAGAAATGGCGTGGATCGATACTGGATGTACGGAATCGCAGAGGAGCGGACCATTTTAGCAATCACCTAATCACCGCCACATACGACTAAATATATGTGCAATAAGTGACAAGAAAGTCAAAATGCCGAAGAAAAAGATCCAGTATTATGACAGGGTATACCGGTCAGTTGAAACGTCACTAAACTCAACAACTACCGAAGAGTGTATGGAATGGCAAACTGTCAAAACCATCTTCACTGATGACGCTAAGGACCAAATTGGTTTCTATAATCGTTCACACCAACAATGGATGTCAGAGGAAACGTGGTGCTTAATTGAAAACAGATAAGCTAAGAAAGCTGAAATAAATCATGCAAGCCCTACAACAGCAATACAAGCAATATAACCGTTCACGCAATTAAAACGCAAGCACGTAGCGACAAAAGAAAGTGGTACAATAATATAGCCAATGAAGCACAAACCGCAGCTGAACTACATAGAAGAAGTGATATGTACAAAGCTACTAGAAAGCTTACTGAAAATAACACCAGGAGCAGTAAGCCGCTAAAAGACGAGAATGGAGTACTGGTTACAGACCAATGCAAACAAATGGATCTGTGGTCCAAATTTTACAGTAATATGTTAACAAATGAACGTTCCGAGGCTCAATTGCACTGTGACTGTGATAGTCATTCTGAAAATAGCAACATTTCCACCTCCTGTCCCGATATTGCAGAGATTATAAGTGCAATAAAAACACTAAAGAACGGCAAAGCTCCAAGACCCGATGGTTTAGCACCGGAACTTCTGAAAACTGACCCACATATAAGTGCACAGATCATCCACCCGTTAATAGAACGTTTTTGGCAGTCAGAGAACCTTTCATCCGAAGTCAAACAGGGTATTATCATAAAGCTTCCAAAAAAGAACGATCTCACAGAAAGAACTAATAGGCGAGGCACTACTCTGTTGAACATGATTAATAATATAATAGCGCATGTCATCATCAACAGACTTTCAACAGCATTAACAGCAATGTTGCGCAGAGAACAAGTTGGATTCCGCCCACACAAGTCTTGTATTGATCACATAAACAGCCTAAGAGTAATCGTCGAACAGTCTGTAGAATGGAGATCAACTCTATATTTATTATTTATAGACATCGAAAAAGCTTTTGATACACTATGTCACACCATCATTTGGAACGCGCTTGAACATAAGGGTGTGCCGCAAAAGATCATCAGGCTCAAGCCCTATACGAGGATGCAAATTGCCGGATACTGCACGAGAAATATCTAAGCGACAAAATACTCATAAAAATCGGAGTTTGACAGGATTGCGTAATGTCGCCGTTGCTGTTCAACATCGTCCTGGACGTAGTCTTGGCAGAGGCATTGGATCAAGGTGGCGGAATAACTTGGGGTTTTCAAGATAGCTTGTGTGATCTCGATTACGCCGATGACTTATGTTTGATGGCACACAGATATAATGGTATATCTCGCAACCTAAATCGTTTGATAACTACAGCAAACAGAGCGGGACTTAAAACCTTGTTACGAAAACAAAAGTTATGCGCATTAATGCTAGCGTCCAAGATCCTTTTATTATAAACAATTACTGTCTTGAGGATGTAGAGTCTTTTCTCTATCTTGGAAGCATCATATCAAAAAATGGTGGATCCAGTGCGAACATTGTGAACCGTATCAAGAAGGCAAAACAAGCGTTCGTTCGCTTAAATAAAGTCTGGAAATCATCTCAGGTATTGCGTTGGACTACAATACAAATATTTAACTCCAACATAAGATCTTGCCTTCTATACGGATGTCAATCCTGGAATACTACGGAAAACAGCATCAATGCACTACAAGTTTTTGTATAACAGTTATTACGCAAAATTGTTAAAGTTTTTTGGCCAATTACAATTTCAAACGATCGTATATGGTCTGTAACTCAGCAAACACCTATGAGAAACGAATTTAAAAAGCGCTCGGTCACTCTTTGCGTAGACCGACTGGTGACACCACAAGAATGGCGATTGAGTGGAACACGATGGGTAGCAGAAGAAGGGACAAACCTGCTGTCACCTGGAGAAGACAAACCGATACCGAAATGTCACACATGTG